TCACTTCCCACTCGACTCCCAAACGATCACTCTGTGCCACAAACTGAATGTTATTTACAACTGCATTAACTGTAGTTCACAGCTTATGCAGGTTCTGTTTACTAAAATAGACTTCATTCAGAGGCGCCCGCAGTCACTGCGGTAACAGCTGACGGTCAGCTCACATCACGTCTGATTTTGCGGTCGCTAATACATTACATGAAGACAGAAATGACATTTTTGGGATGATTTATATCGTATAAATACAGCATGTGACTCTTTCAACAGCATTTGAAGGTCTCCATGTTGCTGAACAACTTATGTAAAACAATGTGAAGACTTGTGCGGCCACCGTTGCTTCTCTCCGGAAATTGTAAATATGATTGACAAAATCGTAGAAATGCTGGATTAAGATCGTTTAGGAGGTAGAATCGAGATCGCAATCTTTTTACGATTAATTGTGCAGCTCTAGCGTGTGTGCATGTGTGTCACTTTCCGTGTGTATGTCAGGCATGTCACTCTATGTCAGTGTGTGTGTGTGCGGATCAGTGATGTGACTCACCATCGTGTGTGTGTGTGTGTGTGTGTGTGTTTGTGTGTATCTTTATCTTTTATTTCTTGCATTATGGTGCTCAAATGTCCTCACAAGTATAGCAATACCGGGGAATTCTGACCTTGTGGGGACATTTTTTTGGTCCCCATGAGGGAAACTGCTCATACGTCACACAGAATGAAGTATTTTGAAAAATCTACAAATATTAATGGGGGATAGAATATACAGTCTGCACAACATAAAGGTCATTACATTTATGGATAAAGAAAGCTGTACACGTGTATGTATGTGTGTGTGTGTCAGTGTTGATGTCACTCTCCGTCAGTGTGTGTGTGTGTGTGTGTGTGTGTCAGTGGTCAGGTGTTATTCTGGGAGATGTGTGTGAGGTGAGCGGTGTGTGTCTGTCTCTCAGTTCCTCATCTCTGACGTCTCTCTCTGTCTCTCAGAGTTTGTGTTGCTGGATTGATGTCGGTGTTTTTGCTCTCTGATTTTTTAACTCAGTATAGTTGAGATGTTGTTTTGTTTGAGCCTTAGGTGACAATAACTCCGCACAACACTTAAGTTATATCAATGTGAGGGTTGTAAAAACATTAATAATCCAGAGAATTATTAATCACTGTCACTTTTTCATCTACAGGGCTCAGCATAATTGAGCACACTTCAGTTGAAGATGAATATTCTGATCCATTTCTCAGTGAATATAGGTGTATTTTGGTGCATTTAAAACAAAACAGGTTTATCAAACAAGGATGTGTGTTTGGATATAACTCGCTTCGTTATTATCATTCATTTATTAGTTTACTGGAAATTAGAACTGAATTTAAAAAATAGTTTTGAAACAAATCTTTGCGCCTAACAAACTAAATTAAATATGTAGGCTAATGGATGTCTTCAGTGGAGTGCGTAGAACACCGTTTCCTTATCCACTAAAGTAAAGTAGTAAAAAATAAAAGTAAAAAGAAAGTAAAGTGGTCGAATGGAGGAGGCTCGTTCTTTATTTTCGCACTGCAGATGCTCTGTTTAACTGTTTTCTCACTAGTGAAGCTTTCAGTTTTTACGCTTACAAAGTCCGCCATGTAAATAGCAAATGCATGGTGCGACACTACTGACTCTCAAAGGGAATGGCAGATGAGACTCTGATTGGTTTAATGGACGTCATGCTCAAAACACACCCAAAACTCAATAAGAGAATAAGCACAATCCTGTTAGACCATGCGCCGGGGCGCAGAGCGGATTTTTCCATCCTTAAAATAGCAAAAGTGGATTTGGACGTGTTTTTAATGCTTTTGCAACATGCGCTTTACACTGTGTGTCTAGATATTTAAAATAGTGCCCCTTGTGTTTTATTTAATTTGTTTAGTTTTCCAACACTCAAATAATTATTTTTTCTGTTTGTTCAAGCTACTTATGTAAAATGAGTTAAACCAACACAATTCTTAAGGTGTTTGTAGGAAAAACTTAATTGTTTTATGTTCCACCAACTTAAATTTGGGTTAGATTAGGTTAACTTAATCGATTTGTGTTGGGACAACATGAAGGAACTGTGTGGAATCCAGCATTTTTACAGTATATTTAAAGGCATGGTTCATGTAAAAACATAATTCTGCTATTGTTAACCTGTTTGAGGTTGTTGAACACAAAAGACGATAGTTTAAAGAACGTTGGAAACACTCTGTAGCCATTGTGTTTTCCTTTTCAATGGCTATAGACTATGAACATTCTTCAAAATATTTATCTTTTGTGTTCAACAAAAGGTGGTTTGAAATCATTCAAGGGTGAGGACATTTTTTATTTTGGGTTGAACAATCCCTGCAAGGATGTGTTTTCTTTCAACTTGAATAGTTTTGTTCAAGGCACTTTTATTTGTCTATAAATCATTCACTGGTTCTGAATGCAGCTTGCTATACAGTATCTGCCGGCAGAATCTTGTGTTCTGCTAACAAACATCTCTTTATGGTGCATCCCAAAGAAGCACAAAATCACTTTCAAGCTTTAACATGTAATGCTATACATGCTGGAGTATTGGAGTCTTTGGCTTTTTTGAAGAAATGAAGAGTTGTGGGCAAAGTTGTTAGCCCTCCTGTGAAAACGTAATTCTTTTTTAAGTATTAATTTTTTTCAACACATTTTTAAACACAAGCGTTAATATCTAATTTCTTTTGTTTTTTCTTGACCGTACATAATATTTTACCATTTATTTATTTTTTAGCAGGATACCAGTAATAATCAGCTTTTTAAAGACTTCATTAGGAAAGTCATTGGACAACAGTGGTTTGATCTGTAGCAAAGTCCCTTTAAGGCAAGCCATTTCACTTCCCGACTATCTTTGAAATGCCTTTCGGGCAGTAAGCTTGAGCGTTCTGTTTGAATGGGGAAACATAAAATTCTCCAAAACAGGACGTGAATAAATAATCTGATGGCTTTTTTGAGCTGAAACTTTACAGACACATTCTGGAGACACAAAATAATTTAATTTAATTTAATTTAATCTCAGAAAAGGGGTACAATAGGTAATATTAGCTTAACAAATTGAACATAAAATGATCAAGTTGTCCCCAAAAACTCTCCAGAATTGTGTTGTTTCAGCTCATTTTAAATAAGTAGTTTGAACAAACAGCAAAATCCATATATTTTTGGTGTATGGAGGGTCACAAAGTTGTCAGATTTCATCTGAAATGATTTAATTTGTGCTGAACGAATGTCTCAGAGGTTTGGAATGACATAAAGATAATTAACCACTTAAACTCTGCGGACCCGGTACCGGGTCCGTGATGTCATCGACTTTTGCTTTCAGATTTAAAGGGCTAGCGTTGCACCAGACCCCCGTAAGTGGTGTCGTTTGAAAGTTTAGAATCTATATTTTATGCACATATGCATATGCACACATCACTTTGGTTTTTATTCTACTGTATAAAAGTTATTTACACTTAAATACACAGTATTTTGGATACCCGAGCTGGGTATTTTACATTGGTTCATTTTCATATTTTTTCATATGACACATGTACAAGTTATAGCTCAAATGAAAGCTCTTGCCGGTGCTCATACAGTTCTAGCATTCTTTTTACTGAATTATATTTATATGCTAAACAGTTGTTGAATGAATTGTGGTGTTTCCATGGCGCACAAATGTAAACAATACATTCATGATCAATAAGCAGCCCCAGATAGCACAGACAGCTGTCATCTCTTACCTTATGCTGTGCCCTTCAGGGCCATTCTCCTCTGTTTTTGAGGTGATGTGCATAAGTAATCCTTTTATATGTCTGATGTGGTCCAAACACAATGAATTATGTTTGATCAAACAAAAGAATAGTGAAATATGTAAACAAGGATCGGTCTCTGTGGCTTGTACAGCACCTCTCATCAGTTGGAATACAATAACTTTGCATAGATTATGGTAGAGACCTTTTTCTTTTTTCCTATGATTACAGACATGTGCAGGAACCACCAAAATTAATTACAGCACGCTAGACTACACAGAACCTTAACGGTACACTTTCAAATTTGAGTTTATTTTTTAAAACTTTAAAGTTAAACTTTTTTAGGTGTTTATTATAACACAGACAACATATACAGATATTTTAAACCCTTTCAATAGTGTTTTATGAAAATTCAAAGGGTTTTCCTTAAAATGATACCAAATTTTTGCATTTACACCTCTGCATGTGGATTTGGGAAGCTTTTAAATTTGGGTAGGCAAAATCCAGGCGGAAATCCCAAAATAGCAGCAGAGTTTAAGTGGTTAATCACAGAATAAATATTTTTGGGTGAACTAACCCTTTAAGCCACTTCAGATAAAAGTGGCTAAATGTAGAAATATAAACGTAATCACTCACCAATCAAATTTGTGTATGTTACTGATCAGTATGAACACCCATACTGTACAGAAGTGGTTTGTCTATACTGTACCAAAGCAGAATTAGTCACGATAAAGAGCTGTTACTCATCGCAAGCGAGTCCAAGGAGATCAGAAATAATGAGGTTTTGCTGCTGGCATTTGAGAACGGTGAAAATGAGGAACTTTCAGCAGCTCAGAATTGAAAATATCGAGGAGGCTTCGCAAGAGTAGGCGCACGTTTCACCGCACTCGCTTTTCTACCAAATGGAGCTTCAGAGGTGCCAAACGAATTCGGCTGGTGGATGTTTTGCAGAAAAGCTTCAGTGTGTTTAAAGATATAGTTCACCCCAAAACAATACAAATTCTGTCTTCAAGTACTTCATTTTAATGTGCTGAATAATCTGCGCATGTCATCAGGAAAAAAATGGTTTGTTCTTGTAATCTTTAATTGTCAATCACAGAAGTCAATGGTTACCGGTTTTTAACTTTCTTCAGAATTTCTTCTTTTGTGTTTAACAGAAGACAGAAGCTCATAAAGGTTTAAAAGCAAGTGAGAGAGAATTGATAGTGAGTAAAAGATGACTTTTGGATGATCTCTTATGTTTGCGTGTGTTTTGTCCTCCTCAGATTTTGGCTGGTGAGGTGATGGTGTTTTTCATGAGGGCGGAGGGCACGCAGGAGAAGACAATCGTCACTGCAGACTGCTGTTACTTCAACCCTCTGCTGAGGCGCATCATACGCTTCCTCGGTATGCTATGTCTACATAGGCCTGTCATAATAATCAATATATACACTTATCGTGAAATACTTGAAGATGAGCTCACTGATTTTTTGGTGCTGCAGTATATATTTACAATTTCTCAAATAACCTTAAAGTCATTTTACAATGACATTTACATTCTACCTCACTGTTGTTAAAGTTCATAATTGGGCATTTACCTAATCGGACATTTACCTTTTTAACATAAAATTATAACTATAATCTATAATTATAATTATAATCATTATATAATCAGTGGCATAAAATAATCTCAAAATGACAATAATATTGCTTATTGCACAACAGTTTCTGTGACAATATACAACAAAAATTCTGTATCGTGACAGACCTACATCCACATTCACTAGAGATCATCACAACGCTGAATATCATTCAGGACGAGAGCTTGTAAACTAGAATAAGGATTTCAGGATCTGGATCACATTATAAATGCATCAGAAGCATTAAAGTCTTTTGAATGCTCTAAATTGTGCTTGCTGAAATTTGTCGTCAACTTTTAAGCATTTTACAGTTTATATCAAAATAAAATACTCCTGTAGTGTTAGAAATCCAATTTAAGCATATTACAGTTTTTCTCAGTGGCTTTGGTGCACTAATAGTTTTGAGAAATGCATTAACTGTTGTGCAAATGTCAATAGTGTTGTGAAAAAGATCACTAGTTATGATCACTAGTGAATATTGCCATATAAAATAAAAGTTCAGTTTGATTGTAATTGCATTTATGAATAATAATGTGAACACCAACATTATTAAAATATTTTGTATAAAAAAAAAAGATTTTCCTAGTTTTTTTTGTTTTTGTTTTATGTTGCATATCTTTGTATTGTTTTATATTATTTGTGATAGTATAAATATTGTCCAATATTATTGTTATTTATTTTAGTATTTTTACTTTAAATATGGTTGCAATTATTTTTGGTGAAAAAAAGAATTTAATATTGGTATTCATTCATTTTCTGTTCTGTTTAGTGCCTTTATTAAACTTTAATAATTTATTAACCTCCATGCAGCCCTATTATTTTATTTATTTGTTTCATTTAGTTTATCTTATTTTATTTGCAAATGATGGCCTATAGTATACGTTGTGTTATTCTGTATTTGAGTTATTTACAGTTAACATTTTATTTATGGTAACTAATGAACATGAGGTCAAGTATTATAAATATAATTAATTTTAAATACACAGATATGGCCTCTGTAGATGGATGGATGGACGGATGAATGGATAGATGGATGGATGGATGGATGGAGGGAAGGAGGGATAGATGGATGGATGGAAAGATAGATAGAACAATATATAGATGAATGGGTATAGATAGATAGATGGATGGATGGATGGATGGATAGATGGATGGATGGTTGATTGGATAGATAGATAGATAGATAGATAGATAGATAGATAGATAGATAGATAGATAGATAGATAGATAGATAGATAGATAGATAGATAGATAGATAGATAGATAGATAGATAGATAGATAGATAGATGGATGGATGGATGGATGGATGGATGGATGGATGGATGGATGGTAGATTGAATAGATAGATAGATAGATAGATAGATAGATAGATAGATAGATAGATAGATAGATAGATACGATAGATAGATACGATAGATAGATAGATAGATAGATAGATAGATAGATAGATAGATAGATAGATAGATGATGGATGGATGGATGGATGGATGGATGGATGGATGGATGGATGGATGGATGGATGGTAGATTGAATAGATAGATAGATAGATAGATAGATAGATAGATAGATAGATAGATAGATGGATGGATGGATGGATGGATGGATGGATGGATGGATGGATGGATGGATGGATGGATGGATGGATGGATGGATGGAGGGAGGGAGGGAGGGATAGATAAATAGAGGGATAGATAGAGGGATAGATCGATAAATGGATGGTAGATTGAATAGATAGATAGATAGATAGATAGATAGATAGATAGATAGATAGATAGATAGATAGATAGATAGATAGATAGATAGATAGATAGATAGATAGATAGATAGATAGATAGATGGATGGAGGGATAGATGGATGGATGGATGGATGGATAGATAGAGGGATAGATCGATAGATGGATGGATATTTGTTTTGTCTGTGTTTCTTAAGTCTTTCATCTCTGCTGTTCTCTCAGGTGTCTACACCTTTGGCGTCTTCACCACCACTATCTTTGCGAACGCCGGACAGGTAGTGACAGGAAACCAGACGCCTCACTTCCTGTCGGCATGCAGACCAAACTACACAGCACTGGGCTGCCATTCAAACCTCCAGTACATCACCGAACGCAAAGCCTGCACCGGAAACCCGCTCATAGTGGCGTCTGCCAGAAAATCCTTCCCCTCCAAGGACGCAGCGCTCAGTGTTTACTCTGCAGTGTACACTGTGGTGAGTTTAGTGAACCTACAGCTGTTTCAATATCTGTGAGTGCTCACTTGTAGAGGAACTGACACATAAACAAAAGAGCGCATCTATGAGCCTGCAGTCTCTCAAACACAAATGAAAATTGAAAAAAAAAAAAAAGGTTTAGCCAATTAAAATCAATTTACCGATTACATCTGTGTTATCATACGTGTTAAAGGGTTAAGTGTTCATGTTTTTGCTTTAATTATTCAGCGATTTCTCCGTGCGCCACTAGAAGGAAGCCTGCGTACCACATTTTGAGAAGCACTGAGCTAGAACAAAGTCATAACCCTCAAGACTCATAAAATGTTGCAATATATTTGCTTAAAAAACATTACCAATGGAAAAGATCCAGTTTTCACATGAATGATAGTAACATTTATGTGATTCTTGACATTTTTAAGCAGAAAGACGTTCTTGCTTGACTAGATTCACCTGACAGAAACATGTTTTACCAGTTTAGCTTGGTTTACTCTTAAGTAGAGCACTATCAACGTATTTAAGCTTAACTTGTGGTCATTGGTGTCTGTGCAAAAAACTGAACATTATTTACTACATTATTACATTTGATCACTACAGTCTGTAGCTTTTATGAAGTAAAAAAAATAAAATAAAAAGCAACATTGAAACTTATAAGAGCACAGAGAAAGCTCCCAAATTGCCATTTGAACGTGTGAATAGATGAAAAATATTGTCAGTCAGTCCTTATTTGTTTAGAGAATATTGTATTGTTGAATATAAATGGTTCATGTGTGATCAAACAGTGCGGCAATATTTATTTTTCAGATTGTTATGTTGTGATTTTATCTTCAGCACTGTCTGTTTGTGCTTGCAGATGTATGTGACGCTGGTGTTCAGGACTAAAGGGACGCGTCTGACCAAACCCACACTCAGTCTGACTCTGCTGTGTCTGGCCATGTTGGTGGGTGTTGTTAGAGTGGCTGAATACCGAAACCACTGGTCGGACGTCCTCGCCGGATTCTTCACCGGTGGAGCCATCGCTGTGTTTCTGGTGAGAGCCTGATTAAAAGCATTGACATGACATGATAAATGATTGCATAGGCATTTAAATAAATACCTTGGACCACAAAACCAGTCATACGTGTCAATTCTTTGAGATTTATACATCACCCGAAAGGGAAATAAAGAATTGATGTATGTAGGATAGGACCATATATGTCAGACATACAACGAATTTAAAAATCGATTTCAACTTTTGAGATTTTTTTGAGTGCAAAAAGAATAAATTATTGAGAAAATCAACTTAAATAAAGTGCTTGTCAATGCACATTACTAATCAGAAATTAAGTTTTGATATAGTTATACTATTTTTTTAATCAAATAAATGCATTAATTTAATTCAATTCAATTCAGCTTTATATGTATAGCGCTTTTACAATGTAGATTGTGTCAAAGCAGCTTCACATAAATGGTCATAGTAACTGGAACAGAGTTGTTCAGTTTTTAGTGTTTAAGTTCAGTTCAGTTCAGTTTAGCTCAGTTCAGTGTGATTTAATCATTGCTGAGAGTTCAAACACTGAAGAGCAAATTCATCGATGCGTTGTTCTACCAATCCTGAACCGTGCGAGGCAGTGGCGACAGCGGAGAGGGAAAAAAAACTTCACCTGATGGTAGTGAAGAAAAAAAACCTTGAGAGAACCAGACTCAGTTGGGCACGACCATTTTAATTTCTCTGCTGGCCAAAGTCTTGTGCAGAGCTTCAGTCGCCTTGGTGGAGGCTGGAAGATGGCCTCAGCGAAGACTCGTCTGTCCATGGTGCGTCGCTGGAATCAGACACATGTTCTCCACTCCCCATGACCATCAGCGCAGCAGCAGCTCAGGATATGGCCTGGTCCCGGATATGGAAACCTTGGGATCATCTCGTCGCTGGTCTTGGATCCAATCAGTGACTCTGCATAATCTGAGGACCTCGGGATGAGTATCCCCAGGTGAAAATAGAAAATAAAGAGAATAATTAGCGTAGCTGCTGTTCATAGTGTATATAAGCAAGATGCAGAAGCCAGTGTGGAACCCGCTAGGTGATGCATTGAGTGTATGCTTTACTAAACAGATAGGTCTTTAATCTAGTTTTGAACTGGGAGAGTGTGTCTGAGCCTCGGACGTTATCAGGAAGACTATTCCAGAGTGTAGGAGCCATGAAAGAGAAGGGTCGACCTCCTTTACTTGATTTTGCTATTCTAGGTACTACCAGAAGCCCTGAGTTTTGAGATCTTAAAGAGCAAGTTGGATTGTAGCGAGACAGAAGGTTGGTTAGATAAACAGGAGCTAGATTATTTAGAGCTTTATAGGTGAGAAGTAATATTTTAAATTCAATACGAAACTTAACAGGCAGCCAGTGTAAGGAGGATAAAATTGGGGTGATATTACTGTTATGGTCATCATCCACACCCAGTGCTTAATATGTGAATTGCGAGGTCCTGGAACAGATTGGGGTAACGGATCCGACATGTTACCCGAGGATGGAGAGGTGTCACGCTCAAAAAAAAAAAGGAGTGGGGTGGGGGGTTTGATGGCGGAGGGCTGTCGCAGACGAAAAACGAAACTGAAGAGCGGGGGGGTTGTCGTAGACAAAAGTGAAGACTGTATATGACTAACTATATAGTATAGTCATATTGGGGTGATATAAACACACCCAGTCCTTTTTTTATTTTTTTATTTAACAACATAAAAACGGTGGATCAATTGGAGCGGTTTTGAGACTGACCGCAACTTGACGTAGGAGTGCAGCCAACAAGAAAATGAATAAATAATAAAAAATTTAAACTGAAGCTAAACTGGCACACTCAGAAGAACCATAGTATTAATATTAAATCTTAAAAAGGGGGTAAACTAGTAAATTTGAAAGGATATTAATAAATGAGTTGTACCTGATATGAGTAACATTGACTTAAAATTTGCTTTTTGCAAATTGTTACAAGGATTTTTTAAGAGATCTTTTTTTCGGTGTAATTTTGACTTCAACTAACTAAAAATATGAAGTTAAATTGTGTGTAAATGCAACAAATTTGTTGATTAAACTAATTTAAAAGAATTGTAGTCAAACATTTGTTGTCATGACTGTTTACTATTTACATTGTACTAAAATCCAAACAATCCATTATTTCCTCCACTACTGCTTTTCTTTTTTCTCTCTGTCTTCTTTCTCTCTCCATTTCTCCAGGTGACATGCGTGATCAACAACTTCCAGCAGACAAAGCCTCCTCCCCCGGCGGTGCGAGTCCAGCGGCCTGAGTCTGTTCTGGGCATGCCCATGGTGGCGCTGCCCTGCGTTGAGAGTCCACTTGAAAAGTTAAGTGGCACTCAGGTAAGGGGTGGGAGCGGGTTAGTAGCAGGGATGCACACATAAAGGGATGGATTACGACCCACCCTGTCCTTCTGTTTTTGACCCAGTGGACCCTAATGTGACTCCCAAGACCCACCCAGCCCTCCTCCCTTTACTAGCATGTCCAACCTGCACAACCCAAACACCAACCACAACACCCTGCAAATCTGGAGGACTGACCGGCCCTTTGCTTATCCTTGAAGAGAGACGTTTCTGTTATGATAGAGTCATTGAGAAGTGTTTAGAGCGTATTATGCCACTGATTGCTCAAAGGGCTGATTGGAGGTTAACATCTCTATAAAAGTGGACTGTGTAGCTTGTGGAGCTTCAGAATTGATGGAGTTCTCCCCCCGTACTCCACTCCAGGTGTGAGTTTCCCCTTTGTAGGCCACGCTCATCCTCCTCACTTTTGGAAATACTTTGTTTTTTTAGTTCCTCTCTTCCTCACCTCGATCATACAAGTCATCCCCTTTTTCTGCCTCAATCTTATATTTTATTTTAGTGATGCACTGAAATTTCTGCAGTTTTCAGTTTGTTTTTTTCTGCCGAAATGGCTTTGGAGGGCGGAAAGTCATTGAGTGAAATGGTGTAGTTTAAATTAATTCTTATCTTATCTAAGGGCGTTTTGTCTGTGTTAATGTCTGGTTCGTGCACACAGTGTTGCAAAAACGTATTTTGACCTTGGAATAGGAAAAATAACAAATAAATTCCAACTTTTTGGTATTTTGCATCTTAAAAATGTGACTCTTTCTTGCAATTCTTAGTCTGAATTGTTAGATAAACTCTGAATTGTGGTGAGAAGTCATATTTGTGAGTTTATATGTAGCATTTGCACGTTTATATCTATAAACTTGCAGTTCGAAGTAGTTTATATTGCAGTTGCAAACTTAAACAGAATTTCATTAATATTTATTTTAACCAAATTCATACCAATCTGAATTTAAATGTCTGCTAAATAATAAATAATTACAAATGACTCCAATTTTTCATTTAAATTCACCTTGGTAAACTTTCCAACATCAAAGGTTGCAATGCAACAATCAAGGTTCTATAATGCAATTCAAGAGCATGTAAATACACACATCATAAGCTACAGGCGGCTTTTTAATACTATATATTGTTTACAATGCACTTTATTGTACATTCAGTGTACACTCTTAGAAGTATAGGCACAAAAGCAGTCACTGGAGTGGTACCTTTGAACTTTTTAGAAGTTAATATGCAAACATTAGGTCCTAACATGTACAGTTGAGGACAGAATTATTAGCCCCCTTTGAATTTATTTTTCTTTTTTAAATATTTCCCTAATGATGTTTAACAGAGCAAGGGCATTTTCACAGTATGTCTGATAATATTTTTTCTTCAGGAGAAAGTCTTATTCGTTTTATTTCAGCTAGAATAAAAGCAGTTTTAATTTAAAAAAAAAAAAACGTTTAAGGTCAAAATGATTAGCCTCTTTAAGCTATATATTTTTTCAATAGTCTACAGAACAGACCATCATTATACATTTTCATACATTTTCAACTTGCCTAATGACCCTAACCTGCCTAGTTAACCAAATTTACCTAGTTAAGCCTTTAAATGTCACTTTAAGCTGTATGGAAGTGTCTTAAAAATATCTAGTCAAATATTATGTACTTTTATCATGGCAAAGATAAAATAAATCAGTTATTAGAAATGAGTTATTAAAACTATTATGTTTAGAAATGTGTTGAAAAAAAATCTCTTCTCCGTTAAACAGAAATTGGGGGGAAATCATTAACATGGGGCTAATAATTCAGGGGGGCTAATATTTCTGACTTTAACATGTACTTTTAAAATACCAATATGAACCCTTTTTGAAGAGGTACTGCCCCTTGTCAATTGACAATTAACATATTAATCATAATTTTAGTAATGATACATAGAATCAAGTGAACAAACAGAAAAAGTACTTGTCAGTTTATTACCATGTTTTTGCGTCGTAATTTACGACACCATCCCAGACGATATATCAGATGTCAATAATAAAATATCAATAAACTTTTAAACATAAAACGTTGTTGGAGGAAACGTCAAGAGCGTCAAGGAAATCATACGTCATAGGCAAGGCAAGTTTATTTATATAGCACATTTCATACTCAGTGGCAACTCAAAGTGCTTTACATAAACAGGAATAAAAGAGACATGTATACATACAATAAAAACAAATAATATATAAACTGATGAAAACAGCGTAAAGACAAACGCTAAGTTTTTCTATATTTCAAAACACCGGTGTATCATATTTTCTCACTTTACTCTTGGACTTCTCCATTCTGGTGATCACCCCCCAAGCCCCCCACCCCCTCTGTGGATTTTTTTTTGGTACCTATTAATCTCTTGGACGTCTACAACAAATTCGATTTTTAGTCAAACGTTATAAAAGGTCTTGATCTCAGCCAGAAGCCAGGGACTTTAACCGCACCGCAACAGTTATATGTGTTGAGCCACATCTCGGATCTCACTTATTGTAATTACGCTGCTATATCACAGAGACAGATCTATCAGTATGAGGATGGCCCAAGTTAAATCTTTTAACTGCCCAATCAGACACAGTTTTTCCATATTCCAAAACACCGGTGTATCATATTTTCTCACTTTACTCTGGGACTTCCCCATTCTGGTGATCAACCCCCTCTGTGGACTTTTTCGGTACCTATTAATCTATTGGACATCTCTGACAGTTTTGATTTTTAGTCAAAAGTAATACCCCACCCCCTATATCTCAATTATATTATTTACGCTGCCATGTCATACGAAGCATGATACGTCAAGGAAATGTATGATGCAATTCAAAAGCAAGCAAAAAATGAATCACAAAATACAGAAAACTGTTGCTTTACACATATTTTTACAGCATATAAGCTGCCTTAGTTTATTTAATACACACATATACACGTTTTTAGATGCATTGGTTATTAAATCAATTTATTTATTTAGTGGAATAAAAAAAAACAGGTTTGGCTAAATGAAAGCTTTCAGTTCTCCTGTCATACATTAATTTCGGTGCATCACTAATTTTATTCTATCCGAACGCAGTTTCCACTTCAAGTCTTGGTTTCTCATCCTTTCTCTCTCTCTCTCTCTTTCCCCTCACACTCTCTCTCTCCCCCCCCCCCCCTTACAGACTCCAAGGGGATCTCCATTCACTGAGATCACATGACCATCAGCCTCATCGGTTCCCCGTCCCCCCCGATGTCCTCATACCGTCTCGCTCCATTTCCAGCGAAGTCTAGACCAGCCGTCCCAGCACGCGCACCACTGCGCCGCCCACTCCGCGGGACGCTCCAACAACCTGCAGCGCTCCTACTCCACGCAGGTCTAGATTTCCACACCTCCAACCCCTCATCCTCCATACTCCTCCATGCTGCCGATAGGGCCTCCACAAACCGCTCAAACAAGCACTTTTAGAGAGCCTGCTCCAAGAACGCAAGAGACCATGGGCAGGCGTCATGGTCTTGCCGGAGAGTTTGTTTGGACTGTGGGTGGAGGATGCGCACCTGCTCAGACCTCTCGAAACCAACCCGACCTACTTCCTGGGGAACCGATGAAGAAATCTCGATCAGCTTTTGGCTGACTCGCAAAAACTTGATTTTTACTGAAAGTGTCAAATGTTTTCGTTCTTATGTACTGTAAATACATTGTGTTTCTTGTTCGAAGCATGTCCGTTTTGAGTCACTCTTTGTTTTTATTGTCTAACACATTCGCACTCCCGACTTGTCACATATTGATGCTCAATCAGGACTCCTTCATGTCAATTTGTAATGCTTCGGGAAGCCACCTAGTGTCATTTTACAGTTCGCAGTGTTCTCCAATGATTTTGGATGCATTAAACAGTTTGCATGTACAATTGTGACAGATCGAGCACTACCACTGTGTGTGTCGCCGCCGCAGGATAAAGGGATTAGTAAAATGTTTAAAGGTGTAACAGCAGTTTGCAACAATGCCGCCAGGGGGCACAAAGGCACAGGTTGTGAACAGAAAATAAGACCGAAATAAACTGTAGGTGGAATGTACAGTTTTAACCTAAAAATGACCAGTCTATCAGATGAAGAAGAGCCCGAGTCAGAGATTCAAGGTTTAATGAAGATAGTTTGCAGATTTATTGGCCAGCTTCAACACTCGCAGTGAGTTCGTAGCTCAAAACAACAACAATTATACTCTCATTAACGTCATACATGTTGATGGTTTAACCTGATTGGTTAAAACACAGATAGACGTAGAAAATTTCCATGTGTGTGTGTGTGTGCACATGCAATTCGTAATGGAGAA